AAGAGAAACTAATTAAAACAAAGACAGATTATATCTAAATGGGAGATTAAGATATGTTTGAAAAAATTAAAAAAAAAAAAAAAAAAAACAGTGGTTAGATTTAAAGTAAACCACACTGAAAACAAGAATTTAAGTTGATACAGGATACTTGATTCTATAAATCAGTTATAATTATTAGCAGCACTGATGTAACTTCATTTCCATGGATAATTAATGATTATTCTTTTAATCACAAGGAAATACAAAGACTAGAATTTAAACTATGAAACATTCATTCCTAAAATGTATTTGTATCATAACACAAGAATATGAATTACTACATAGTTTTCAGCTCCACTGGCTAAACACTGCAAAAGCTTATCAAACCATTTTACCTGACAGACATATTTGTTCTTCCATTTGCTCAGCACACACTGACTGTTTTGCATCAGCTCCTGAAGGACAACAGAAAAAGAGAGAGTGCAGTTGGCTATCCGCACTGTCATTATCAGTTAAAGTGCTTCTGATTTGCAAGCAAAAAAAGATCAACATGCCACACAAAGATGCAACTGTTTTGGAACTCCTCACTGGACAAAAGCAAAGCTATCATCACCATGAGAGTTGATCCTTTATGAAAATTAAAGCTGTTGAAAGATGCTTTAAAACAGATTTGTTTGTTGCCATTTTTGAAACTTTTAGAAAGATACCTCCAACTCTTTCAGTGAGTCTCGAAGTTTTTCTGGGCGTCTGTTTTTGAGCGTCCAAGGATAATCTCGTGCTGGCAAATAAAATATGTACTACAGTTAGTTAAACATGACTTAAAAGGAAAACTTTGTTTAGCAGTGTGCTTTAGGAAGATTAAAATAAAACACCTTCATAATTGAGAGGAAGTAGGCTTCGTTTCTATCATCGAATGACAGCCTTTTGAAAGGCTTTGTCACAGGAACAGGATTTTTACCACAAAACAATCTCTCCGATCATAATTTTATGATGACAACCAACAAGGCTTAGAGAATCCCTGGGAAAGTTTGCTAGGCCTACAAATCTATTTTAATACTTAATGATAAATTAACCACTCTTTACCATTGAAGTAACTTTTTCAGGTAAATAATTAAATGTTTAGTCCAAAAGAAATTTAAAATTCTACTAGTAGCCTACTCAGATCTAAAAATTCTTATGCATATAGTAAGGAAAATATGTAAAATACAAACATAATATCAGAAAATGAATTTAAAATTAAACATCAAACTATCACATATATTAAAACTAAGGGGAAAAATCTGAGGGAAATCTAATTTTAGCAAGTTATGCACTAACAGCGCTCTTTTTAATTTAAAATAATCTTCTCTAAAATCTATACTGCAATTAAATAATAATAAGTTTTGTCTTACTTTAAATAAATTTAAATGAAAGATGAGAATATTTGGTAGAGTCATAATATTAGCCTAAAAATTAAAAATGGCTCTACTTAAAAGAATTAATAAAATGTTAAATATATTATATCTGTTTTATCAGAAAAATGAGTTCATCTTTGAATTTTCCTATTTAATTTTAAATAAGAGTTGTATATATACATAGATAATATATAAAGATATTTAAATTTGAGAGAAAAGTCCTATATATCTTATTTCAGCAAATTAATTTGGTTATATAAATATAATTTTGATATGTAGAGCATATGTACAAATTTTAAAATCTGTGTTGTGATTACTAATACAGCATTTTAAAATATTAAATGTCAATTTGACCATTTAAAACAAACAAAAAATAAAGCAGGATTTTCAGCTCCATCTATATTCCAAATAAAAATCTTAAATTATATTTGGCTATTAAAATCACATTATAGTGTAGCCATATTTATGTATGTGTGTGTGTGTGTATAAAAAGACTAAAGAGAATCAAAAGCTAACACTGATACTACAAATCTTGTTTTAATTGAATGTTACCATTAGAATTTAAGCATGGTACACTTATTTCAAGTGAATTAAATAATATAAATATAGTTCATTAAAGTTTATATTTATACATCAGCATGTATCTTACCAAAATCAAAACAGAGAAGAGATTTCAATGGTCTAAATTAGAAGGCCTAACAAATATTCTTATTCATGTTTACATCCCTAAAAAATGAGAATTTGCAATTACAGAAAATCTGAAAGGACCAACATTATGTAGAAATCAGACTATTTTATAATACTGAACTTTTCAGTTCTATAATAATTCAAAAGAAAATAGTGTAAGCTTACATTCTGCCAGCTTCTGTTTTTCTTCTAAGTTACCATGTTCTGTTGCTGATATTACAGCAGAAGAGAAATGGAAAGAAGAAAACAAGTTAAAATTTATTTTCATTATAATATCTTATATTTTTAATGTATACTTATATACTATCACACACATTATTGAGAATAAAAAATGATGCTAAACTATAAAAGGATGGCTGACAAAATCAGCATAATTTGGATGCTTTTATTTCAGAGACATTTCCTAAATTTGCAGTGGAAAGGCTTACGTGGCACAACAGGTGGGCTAATATCCTGAGTTCTCAATCTCATCAGATAGGGAAGGGACCTGCAACCTAGCCCCAAACAGAAGCTGCTTCAGTCTGTCATCAGAACCATGAAGTCAGCCTATTAACCACCAAGCTAAGCACAGAGGATGCTCACACAAGCCCCATTTCAACAGAGACCAAAACAGGAAGTAACTCTAGCTAGAAAGACCTTTTGGCCCATCATAAAACTTCTGGGATTAACAGGATTAATCAGATAAAGAAAATTGATCATTCACTCAGAAATGCCTATTTCAGATATCAGGTGAGGATCCGGGAGGCCAGCATCAGTGGGACCTGTGCATTAACAATGCCCTCTACTGGGACACTGATAAATAAATGTGAATAGACTGTCCTGTTATCAGCCTGATCAACAGTAAAATGAAAATTTTTATATTCTTCTGCATCATGTTCTCAATATTGCTTTATTTCATATAAAACAGATAGCAACCTCAGCCATTTTTCTAAAGAACTGAAGTGACTTTTCTTAAAATTCTAGAATTTGTCTAAAGCTCAGAAAAACAAATTTTTAAATGGTCAGTATTTCATGATTTAGAATATCTAGCTTGTGAAAATTAGTTGAGTAGAATTGGTACTTTACCTGGTGGATCCTTCTTATCATAATACTGGTAGATCCCGATGTCTCTATCTATAAAAGGAAGAAATAACAGTAAATTATGGTACAAAGTAGAGAGTAAGGAACCAAACTAGTCTATATTTCGGGGGTGGGGATGGGGACGAGAGCAGAAACAGACTCCTTATGTTACTAGAAATAAAATAGCTCAAAAGCATCTGGACATGGGCTCCTCTATTCTAGGGCTTTGCAGAACTGAAAACTTCATCAACCTAATGAGAAAAGATTTATACAAAACTAGAATAGCAGAAAAAAAAAAAAAAGAAATTAGTAAAGAACTGAAATCAAGGAAGACCAAGTTTTCTCTTTCACACTTTCTCTGATATTTTTCACAGGGAGCTTCCAAAAGGAACTGCCACTAAGCCATGCCAAATGAAATTAGTGGATGGAAGAAAATGCCCGTTGGAATCTGAGCTATGGCTTTCTTTTCTCCAATTTAACACTCTAGTTCCTACCCTATGACATATGAAGGAACTTTGAAGAAAAGAAAGGGAGATTAGAGGACAGTATGGATAAATTATCTAAAACTTGTTCAGATTTTAAAAACCTCCTAAAACATTCAAATCCAAATGTTTTGCAGGGATGTAAACAGCAAAGCTAGGCTTCACTGATGTTGAGAATAATCTAAACAAAGAATCTGTTCTTGCTATTTAAATACTAGAGAAGAAAATAGTTATGTCCATTCTCTTCATATGAAATGAAATATTTCTTTCATTAAAGTAACATTTGTTTTCTTCCTTCCAAAATAAATCTCAGTTACTAACATAAGGAGGATACAACTGTTTCTAAAGAAGTGAAAGCAGTACAGGCTGCCCCCTAGTGACTGACTGCTCCAAACTTTCTCAAACTGAAAACTAAACCATAAAAAGAAAAAAAAGGCATTATTGCCATCATTAACTTTTCAAATACTGTTCACTTTTTCAAGAGTAACTCACTTGTATTTATTGAAGCTCTATTTTATTAATAGGGGCATGCAATTTTAAAGAGTGCAGTTTACATACAGTGGTTAGATTGAAAAGCAAAATATTTAATAAGAAGGGATTGAGAAAATGTGTGAACAGGGCTTCTCGGGTACTCATAATACTTTATTTCTTTACCTGAGTTGTGATTTTATGTTTTTGGTTTTTTTCACTTTTTGATAGTTCAGAACACATTCTTACAATCTTTACACTTTTCAGTATATATGTTATACCCCAATACAAAGGTTCTTAAAAATATAGGGCGTGTGCGCTCACCAGACAGAGACAGAGAGACAGAAAGCGAGAAATCACCCCCAGCGGGGATGGCCTCGCCGCAATTCCTTCTCCTCCATTCTCCTCTTGGGATCTTGGGCATGCACACACACACACCCAGCTTGAGTTTTAAGCCACCGGGTCCGCAACGCGAACTGCAGTCAACTACATGGGAGTCCAGCAACATAGCCATTATGCTAACTGCTGGTCCTGAAAATTTATTTATTTTGAAATCTAAGGACCATAGGCACTATGTACAGAGGCAACGTATTTTATTAAAATAATCCAATGAGCCAGCCTATGGTGTGGTGGTTAAGGTAGGTAGACTACATGGTCACTGCAGTTCAAGTCCTGGATGGGCAGTTTGAGCAATATACCAGGCATGTGTGCATGCCTGTCCCAAATCCCAAAAAGAGGGAGAAACAGAGAAGAGACTACTGTATGACCATCCCCCATGGGAATGCGTTCTCATTTTCCCTTTCTCTCTCTCTCTCGTAAGCTCACACACCCTCTGGGGGGGGGAAATATATATATATATATATGTGTGTGTGTGTGTGGGTGTGGGTGTGTATAAATATTATATATATCATATATAAAATAATATACCTTAACCAATAATTAAGACCACCATTCCATGTATCCAGGTATTTACCACAACTCTAGAACAGAACAATAAAGCTCCTCAGGACTCTGAATTTGTATACAAGTATTCTCTGCTACATCTGGCCCTGACTAGGATTGTCAAAACCCGACTAGGATTGTCAAAACCCAACTAGGGTGTCTACTGGTTGATGAAAAAGTCATGATGCATTTTTTTTCTATGCAAAAACATGTCATGACTTTTCTAACAATCAAATACGTAAGGAGATCTGCCCCACAAAGGGGTGCCAGAGATGGATGAGGAAGGTGTCCAAGCAAAGAGTCAAAATGATGCCGGACATTAGAACCCTAGCAGAGTGAGAACTATATTCACACAGGGCAGTGACCTGGTGTGGTGTCAGAAGGTGAACAATGTGAGAGCATTCACAGATGAGAACAGCACAACACAGTGTGTCAAAACCCACACAAAGAAGGATATGTATATAAGAGGGGGAGTGGGCCACAGAGATAGGAGATTGTATACAGAGTGATTGGCTAAGGTAATATAGCAAAGATATGGAGGTCCCAAGTTCACCACTGTCTAATTAGAAAAGTACAAATATGGAAAGGGATCAAAGTAGAATGAACCCTGTGGTTATAAACTGGAATTGGAGATACCAGTGTGAACTCTTCATGGTTCTCAACAGAGAAAGATGATGGGAATGAATATGGATATAAATATGTATGTATCCATAAATGTCGGGGTCCAGCCTTGGCAGGGGTGGGTTGACTCATTGGAGGCGACGCTGGAAAAGAAGAAGACTAAGTCAGACTCCTTCACATAAACACATTCCCTAAGCTTTGTCTACTGAGAGGGCTGAGTAGAAAAACAGTGAGTGCACATAAAGCACACCTTGGCTTCTAGATACTCTTCTTCACTAAAAGGAACAAAGCTCCTCAAAGAAGTAGCTGATTCCAAGGCTAGGGTAAAGAAATTACAGTATTAACCCAGAATACCTGTTGTGTCATAAGAAATGGAAGTGGGGACCAGCAGATGGTTACGAGTAATGGTTACGTCGCTAAACTCCCACATAGTCAACTGAGGTTCAAGTTCCAGACCTGGCAGCTTAAAACTCACACTGAGTGCATGTGTATAAGTGCCTAAGATTCTGAGAGAAGAATGCAGAAGGGATTACAGCATGGCCATCCTCCTGGCGGGTATTTCTCACTTTCTGTCTCTATAGAGAGCATACGCACCCTTTAGCAAAAATCTCTCAAAAAAAAAAAAAAAAAAAGAATTGACAGGGATATGTCAGAAAGACACAGAAACAATTAAACATCAAAATAAATAATGATGGTAACGGATTACAACCACTGAGTAAAAGAGGAAACTTGAGTTCACAGAGAAAACAAAACAAGTATATATAAAAGTTTGAATGAAGAACAGTGTATTTCTATCATTTCAAACTATCTCTTTGTAAAATGCCTATTTAGTTACAAAGGAGAAAGTACCTCTGTGTGGAAAAGCCTAAAAGACAGGAGCTTTAAGAAAATGTGTTCCTTACTTAGTCTACAAAGCAGGGAAGGCTTCTCTAAGTGACTTATTAATGCTAACCCCTAAAGAAGTGGGATTTCATATGGGTTCAAAGAAAATAGTGTTCTCAATAGAAAGGATGTTTAGGCCCTACTGAAAACTAGTCAGGTTGAAGACCATGACCTCCTCTGTGAAGCCATTGTGGACCTCTGTAGGATTTTCCCTAAAAACCATTCATCTCTTAGAGTAGGAGGGGCAGCGACAGAAGACTTCAGGACAAACAGAGGGATAGGAAAGGAGTTTCTGGACACGTAACAGTAAACTAGGGGTAAAAGGGAATCCAAATAGAATAGATCAGATTTCCAATGATGGGGTCCAAGATGGGTGGGAAGGAAAAAAAGGGCCTACTGGATAAGGAAAATACGAATAAATTAAAAGACTGATGGTTTCAAATCCTGGACATATGAGAAAAAGGGAATGAGAAAAATAGGCAATTATAATGAAAGAAGAAAATACTTCAATTAAAGATTCCCACCAGTAGTGAAATGATCTCAATCACTTTGTGGGTTTTATTTATCTTCTAAGAGCATTTCTCTTATGCTTTTGAGTTTAATTTTTCTCTGGTATATATATTTTACATTGCCAAAAGATTAGTATAACTTCAAATGTTTTCTGAAACTCCTGTATTGTTTTTTGCATCATGGATTCAGTATCTTTCCTTATGGCACTGGTGCATTACTTTCTTTTGCTACATTGTCTTTCTTCAGAGATCTTTTCCCTACTTATCTAAATTGTTTTGAAGACATTCCTCAAATATCTTGTGATCCTTAATTCTCTGCTCATATTTACCAGTGAGGCACTAGAAAGCTAACTGGAAGCTCTGTGTACATAAATAGGGTTTACCAACTAACAGCTTCACTGATCAGCCAGGAGTCAGGGTTATTTCATTGGCAAACCTTCTCAAATGCCAATTGGGCCACGTAGTTGTTTCACAGAGGAGTCTAGTAAATTGTTCCTTCTTTCAAAGAGTGCAACTGGGGACCAGCAGATGGCATAATGGTTACATTGCTGGACTCCCATGTAGTTGACAGTGGTTCAAGTCCTGGACCTGGAGGCTTAAACTCAAGCTGGGTGCATGCACATAAGTGCCCAAAATCCCTAGAGGAGAATGGAGGAAAAGGGACTGCTGCATGGCCATCCCCCCCACACACACCCAGGGGAAGACGATTTCTCTCACTTTCTGTCTCTCTGTCTCTCCAGTGAGTGTATGCACCCTATAGTAAAAATCCCTCTTAAAACAAACAATCAAAACAAACAAACAAACAAACAAATAAAAAAACCAGAGCGTGCAACTGGGTATGACATTCTCAGAACCAAGTATGACTAACAGAACTCAACCCATCAATATGTAGGCTTCTATTTCATCCCTGTTTTCAGTTCAGTAGGTCTTCCTAGTATCCCCAAGTTTAAAGTCTCCCTACTTAGTTATTTCTACTCATTACCATTTGTACAGACTTTTAAGTCCTTCTGTTGTTACAACAATATGTCATACCATATCTCCATCTTTAATATGACTCCTCAAATTTCTATACCTTACCAGAGCCTTGAGATGCAAGCAGTCATTGGAATTTTCCTCTGCAGGCAACTGATACTCAGATTTATCAATTTTGCTAATCCTCCATCCCCTCCCTATTCCAAAATTTGTCAAATTGCAGCTGTCTCCTCTTCTAATCTCTTAGTCCTTGTGGGTGTATGCCTTTTTAACTGTAATTAATTCACACTCATCTCTTAGAATAGTTTTAGGATCCAATACCATAGTAAGGTGTATAAGTATTATGCATAGGGAACTAGATTCCACATGGTGACAGTGGTACAAATCCCTGCCCTGGCAAGGAAAACACACTGGGCATGTGTGTGTGTGTGCATGGCCTGACAGGATGGAGATATGAAGGAAAGAAGGCTGTGGTGTGATCATGACCCATTGGAGGGAACTTTCTTTCTCTCTTGGCCAGTGTATGTGTCTCTAATCATCATCATCATCATCATCGTTCTGGGAGAAAACAAATGTATATTAAATCGACTTAATTAGAAGTTCTATCCTTATACAGTTTAAAGAAGATAAATTTAATGAAAATATGACATTCATCTGTAATTATACATTTGATGTAAAGAATGCTTTGCAATATAAACTACTTTCTTAGTAATCATGCTAAAGTCATACAAATAATAGTACCATCTTAAAGACAACACCTACTTTGGATAATTTAAGAAGAAAAGATTGTTAAAAAGATGTTTCCAAATGGGGCCAGCAGTTGCCGTAATGGCTGTGTCACTGGACTCCCATTTAGTCGACCATGGTTTGAGTCCGGACCCAGTGGCTTAAACTCACGCCGGGCGCATGTGTGTGCATGCCCAAGATTCTGAGAGGAGAATGGAGGAGAAGGACTGTGGCGTTGCCCTCCCACCGGGGGGTGAGTTCTCACTTTTTGTCTGTCTCTCTGTCTTTCTGGCAAGTGCACATGCCCTATAGCAAAAAAAAAAAAAAACTGTTTCCAAATGAAACATACTTTAAACTGTAATATTAATAAGCATCCTCCCAAGAAATGTGAAATGCAAAAAAATAAAAATAACTGTACATCTTAACTATATGTTAAAAATGTTATTTTAATATCAAACATAAAGGCCACTACTATTAGCTAGCCTGTAAATACTTATGAATATAAACCATATACTGTATAAGTCCCAGGAAACAAATTAAATATGGATATATCATAAGAGGAAACAAGTATTAAGAAAATAAAATTAATTTTCAAAACTGAAAATCTAATACAAGCTGATAAATATTAATACAAGCAACTAAAAGAAATTAGTTTCCATTAGTCGATTTTTCATTAAGTATAAAGAAAAGGATATAATTCCAGCTGGGGAAACCAGCCTCTAACCTTTGCTAGTACATACCTAAAATGGAGTAACATATTTGAAAAATACTGAAATTAATCCAAAGCTCATTTACCCCCAATATGTAAGGTATTCTTCAAAGACCACAGGTGCAATTCAGCCAAGCAGAAAGACATCTGACAGCAGAAGGAATCGCTGTCCTGTTTAAAAATAATGAAAAAGAGGTGACAATTAATTATCTTTTATTGTCAATAAAACCAAAATCCCCTCAAAATAATAAAAAGAATAATTTGACACTACAGATTTTTGAGATAGGGTCCATTAGAATAAACACTTTGTAATGTATCCTTGGTTAACCACCCAGAAATAAACTCTAGAAAAAGGAAAAATACGCTTCTTTTCCTGGATTTAGTATGTCATCACATTGGGAAATGTGGTAAGAAGAATATATATATTTGGGTTTTCAATAGCATCTGGTTGGTTAAGGCTCTGAATATATTTAGAATTATTTAGTATTTAAGCATTTTCTTTCAAAGTTATATTTTTAAGGAAAAGGAAATGTCTGTTAGGTAGTTATTAAATACATTTTGTAGTGCATTTTTAATACATAGAGTAAATATTTACAGTTTCCCACAAACAGAATACTAAAGTAGAATTTACAAGGTAAATGATACATAGTTTCTATTATAAGACACAATTACTTAAAAGTAAACTGTGTGAAACCACATTAACATTCAGATTAGTTTGTTAATCTGCATGTCATGATGGATCCTGATATTTTAAATGCATTTTTTTTTAAAAAGATAGTATAAATGTACCTACTATATTTATCCCATTTTCTCCTTTTCTTCTTTTTTTTTCTTAAAGACAGGGAGAAAAGGAAAGAGGAAGAGAGAGCAGGAAAGGGAGAGAGGCAGAGATAGGTATTTTTGTTTTTGATAGTGAGTCTGTGTTTGAGATTTTCTTGCTCCAATCTCAAATAGCCAGGACAAGAGGCACAAATTGTATCCAGTGTGTGTTCAGGTTGGACAGGAGCTGAACCTGAGTCTCCCATGCAGCTTCCAGTCTCCCAAGCAGTGGCACTACCTGTGTCCCTCTGCATCCGGGTCTACTTACTCCCATTTTAATAGCAGAGGCTGTTTTTTTTTGTAATTGCCAGAGGGCTCATGGGATCCTCAGAGAGGTACAGAAAGACAGAGAGGAGAGGAAGAAAGCATCTCCAAGTGCGGTATAGCCATGCCACAATCCATTCTTCTCCACTTCTCCATCCTGTTGCTATTTGGAACATGCACGCATATGTACTTGGCATATTTTTCAAAGTGCCATGGCCAGGATACGAACTACGCAGTTCATCGTACAGAATCTGGCTCCTTTAACCACTAGGCTACCAGGTCAGCCCAGATAGCAGGGACTGTTGATGTTCACTCTTGATACTTTTTTCCTTTTAACCAAATGAAACCTCATCAATTTGGACTGATTCAGAGAAGGTCAGTGTGAATCAGAGAAAAAAAAATGTAATTAAAAAAATGAGAAATAAATTTATATAACTTTCAAATGTTTGCTTGAAAGTATATATGGTACTAACTACATGTATACTGTATATTACAAAAAGAGTAACTTAACCTATGGACATTTTCTTTTTAGAAATCAAAGAAGAAATGTTCTGTAAATAAACTTCTGTATAACAAACAAGTTTTTTCTTTTTTTAAGAGAGATTTTGCTATAAGGCGTGTGCATTCACCAGAGAGACAGAGAGACAGAAAGTGAGAAATCACCCCCCTCCCCAAGGGGATAGCCATGCTGCAATCCCTTCTCCTCCATTCTCCTCTTAGGATTTTGGGCACACATGTATACACGCCCAGCGTGAGTTTCAGGCCACTGGGTCCAAGACTCGACCCATGGTTGGCCATGTAGGAGTCCAGTGACATAACCATTATGCCATCTGCTGGTCCTGAGTTTTTATAATATTTTAAGGGCTGGACCTATAGCACAATGTTTGTTAAACTTAATAGGGAGTTGTGTTCCCACATATCCAGCTATGGTTAGAATTCTAGCCCCAGTGGCTTGAAAAACATGCCAGATGTGTCCACACACACGCTCAAAGTCCTGACAGGATGGAGAAATGGTGAAAAAAAACTGTGGCATGACTATTCCCATTTGGGAGTGCTTTCTTTCTCTTCCCTTCCTTCCCTCCTTGAACATCCATGTCCTCTGGCAATAAATTAAATAAATATTCTTAGACAACTCTTAATGGGAGAGAAAGCCCTAAGTTTAAACATCAGGAATAACTAAAAAATATTTTCCATACCGTTTACATTGGTGATAGTCCCAAATAATTTTAGAAACAGAAATTTCCTTGGCCCCTCCTTCACTTCATTTGATCTCAGTGCATTTATAACAATAAAAAACATGCATGTTCAAATAATAAGACACAATGTGCTAAGAATCAAAATGGCAGGTTCAATAGCAGTAGCCATACTATGAATAGTAGAAGCTGCTATGCAGACTGAGGCCACAAAGGAGGCCCAGGTTTGATACACAGCCCACCCTGGAAAGCTAGGAACAGTGGCCTGTGCCTGCAGGTCCAGCTACTCAGGAGGCTGAGGCAGGAGGATCATGACATAGCAAGATCCTGTATAAAAATGGAATCAAAATGTCAGAGTGAGGGGTCAGCAGGTGGTGTGATGGTTGGGATGCTGGACTCCCACATAGCTGACCATGGTTCTAATTTCAGACTGCTGGCTTGATTTCTCTCTTCCTCTGTCGCTCTCTGGTGAGCATACATGCCCTACAGGAAACTTTCAAAATAATAATAAATTAAATTAATGAATAATTTTTAAAAATATGGCAGAGTGAAACATGTGGCAGTACAGAAGAGGAGCCCAATCCTGTTGGAACAGCAGTGCTGTGAGAATGACACAGAGAAGTTGTGAAATGTTGGTGGGCCCTCAAAAAAATCTCAGGATTTCACTATTTAGATGTTGCTGCTGCTGATAACAATGATGACGATAAACAATAACAACAGATAACACTTATCAAACATTTGTCCTAAACATTTATATATATAGTAATCATTGAATCCTCATAGCTACTCTTTGAGGTAATATCATTATTCTAATAGCAAGCAGCTAGTGGAGGCAGCTTTGAGTCTACGCAGACTACCTCCAGAGTCTATACTTACAACCTCAGTGCGCTCCTGTTTTGGGGTTCACAGAGGTGTGGAGGGAGTGCATACAGTAGTTTAATTAAAAGGACATGTCCTGTGGGTAGCATGTCCTATGATCAAGGTGTAAGGTGTAGAGTGACAGTACAAGGTAAAGCTAAGAAAAGGTATGAAAGAAACAGGCTATGATAATAATAGTAAAATTTGGATCAATCAGAATTTACTCTCTCCCTTGCATAATAGTGCTTTAAAAGGTAAGAGATGATGAGACCAGCAGTTAGCGTAATGGCTATGTTGCTGGACTCCCACATAGTCAACCGCGGTTCGATTCCCGGACCTGGTGGCTTAAACTCATGCCAGGCATGTGTGCGTACGTGCCCAAGATCCGGAGAGGAGAAGGGATTCCGGCGTGGCCATCCCCCCTGGGGGGTGATTTCTCGCTTTCTATCTCTCTGTCTCTCTCTGTCTGTCTGGCCAGCGCATGCACCCTATAACCCCCCAAAAAAAAAAAAAAAAAAAGGTAAGAGATGAAACAAAAGACCCCTCAGTTCCCAGTGCTACCCTGCTCTACCAAATGCTGGCTGCCACTGTATACAGAAACAGCGTAGGAGGCCAAGTAGGCTACATCACAGTAAAAAAGAATATAGCTTATTACCAGCAAGTCTCAGAGAAAAGTTAATAAAAGCTAATTATTGGAGCTGGATCTGTGGCCTAGTAGTTAAAAGAGCTAGATGACATATGGCTGATCATGGTTCAAATCCTGACCCTGTCTGCTTAAAAAACATGCATGTGTGTTGGGACCAGCAGTTGGCGTAATGGCTAAGTTGCTAGACTCCCATGTAGTCAACCACGGTTCGAGTCCTGGACCCAGTGGCTTAACTCATGCCAGGTACAGGTGTGTGCGTGCCCAAGATCCCGAGAGGAGAATTGAGGAGAAGGGACTGCAGCGTGGCCATCCCCCCGGGGGATGATTTCTCGCTTTCTGTCTCTCTGTCTCTCTCTGTCTTTCTGGCAAGCACACGTGCCTTATAGCAAAAACCTCTCAAAAAAAAAAAAAAAAAGTGCATGTGTGTTGAGAGTCCCAGCAGGATGAAAGAATGAAGGGTAAGGGTTTGAAGCATGACCACACCTCTCTGGAGTAAAGGGTGCCTTCTCCGTCCACACCCTGTTTCTGTTGAATGCACGCACACTCTGGCTTTTTAAAATGTTTTAAAATCTAATTACTAATTTTTCAGTTCACCTGTATATTATCTTTCAGAGTTGCCACCTTGAAAGTGATTCTAGTGAGGCCTCATTATTCCAAATATTACTAAAACAGTTGCTTCTGTTAGTTTTATGAGGCTTATTTCAGAATTATCACTTAATAGTTACATTTTATTTTTAACTAAAATACTGCATTAGAAAAAACAAACTGCATCTTCATTTGGTTGGATAAAGACTGGAATGTTTGTTTTTAAAATGTAAGCTAATGGAGTCCAGAAGATGGCATAGTGGTTGGGGGGACAGGACTCACACATGGCCAAACACCATTTGAGTCCCAGACCTGGCAGCTTGCTTTCTCACTTTGCCTCTCTTTCTCGTTCTTCCTGGTAAACATCTATAGCAAATAAGAAAGAAAGAAAGAAAGAGAAAGAGAGAAAGAAAGAAAGAAAGAAAGAAAGAAAGAAAGAAAGAAAGAAAGAAAGAGAGAAAGAAAGAAAATTAAATAAATGGTTCTTTAAAAATAAGTTAATGAATTAAATATTTATTTTGCATCTATTTATTATAGCTTAATGTGTGGATTCTAGAATCTAACTTCGTGTTTTTTTATCCCGACTTCTCAGTTTACTAGCTAATTTAAGCAAGTTATCTAACTTCATTATTGCTAAGATCCCCTGGATATAAAGTGTATATATTTAAAGTACTCCATCAAGATTGCTTTGAGGATACCTTTACTCAATTACCTTATCAATGGTATTGTTGAAATGGCCGCTACTATTATTCAGTATGTGCAATTCACTCAATACGTCCGGTCTTAATACATATTACTCAAAATGT